GCCGCTGCCGCTGCCGCTGCCGCTGCCAGAGACGCCGCCGCTGCCAGAGACGCCGCCGCTGCAGCGCGGCGGCTCCCAAAGCGAGGCAGGGGGCCTGGAGGCGTACCTCGCGGAGGAGATGCCGCGGGGGCGTTTCATCGTCGTCGACCTCCTCTCCACCTGGGGCGCCGTCCACGAGGTGGGGATAAACGGCCTGGAAGTCTTCACCGAAGCTGGCGAGCGCGTCATCCCGCCGCCGGAGTGCCTGCGACCGTCGTCGAGTCCGCCCCTCCGGGCAGCAGGGGCGGGTGACGGCAACGCGGCGCAGGAGCGAAGGCGGGCGGTGAACGGGTACTACACAGCGTCGTACACCACGCCGCAGCGTGGCCTCACCGTGATGGTGGAGTACCCGTTCACCGCAGACGCCAATAGCCCGGCGACGGTGGATGCCGTTAGCAACGAGGGCCCCCGAAGCCGTGTGGCAAACCTCGTGAACGGGATTCACAACACCCACGACGACACAAAGCTCTTTGCGATGCCGTTTACCCCCAACAGCCATCACCGCATCTGCTTCGTCCTTCCCACGAGCGTCGTCATCGCGATGGTGCGGGTGCACAACTACGGCGGTCGTGGGCGGGCACACACGGCCAAAGGGGTGCGTTTGCTTGAGATGACTGTCGACGACAAACTCGTCTTCCGCGGCGAGATCGCCCCCAACAGCGGCGCGGTGCTGCCCCTGCACCGCGTTGGCCGGGAAAACTGCGAGAACATCCTCTTCACGGAGGAGCCGCAGGTGCTGCGCCGACTGCTGGCGGTGCCTCCAACGGAAGTGGTTGTTCAAGGCAAACCGTGGGGAAGGGAGGAACGAGCGAGGGCGGCCGAAATGCCTCCACACGCTTCCGCCCACCAGCGAGCGACGATGGCGACCGTGCTGTTTGGCACCTCCAGCGAAGATAAGTCGCAACGCATCGGAGGCGAGAGAAGCGTGGTGGTCCCTGCCTCCCTTTCGGTCAATGTAAGCGAGCAGCCTCTCCCCTCCAGCAACGCGGCGGGACCTCTTGCAATAAGTACGGCGCCAGTGAGTGGAACTGGGCGCCGCCGGCTCTCAAGCTCTGAGAGCATGTATTCTAGCTGCCCCACAGATGTGACATCGATTTGTTTTCTCCTGCTTTGTACCTGGGGAGACACGGAGAAGATTGGGTTGAGTGGACTGCGCTTTCGTGACGCACAGGGCGACCTCGTGAGTCAGCATATTTCCCACTGGTACGTGCGCTTTCCATCGCAGGCACAGGCGAACGACGAGGTGGGCGCCTGGGAGGACAGCCTCGTGTACCTCTTTGACGAGAATGCCGAGACCGCCCTAACGCTTCCGTATGAGCCATGCATTGAAGTCATCTTTGTTTTTGACGCCCCGCTGCCGACGCTAGGGTTTGTGGAGGTGGCAAACTACTCCCTTGGCGAGCACACCTTCAGCGGGGTGAAGGAGGCACGCTTGTTTGTCTCCTCTGCGACGCCAGGGTGGTCCGCAGGTTCCCTTGTCGCGGCGTACGCGACACTGTGGTCTGCAAACGGCACGTACATGCAGACCACCCTGGAGTCGCACGGCGTCGTGGAGGTGACACCGGAGGCGGGCGTAAGTCTACGCAAGGCACCGGCCTTCCTCTCTATTCCACGATTTCAGGTGTATGACTTGTCGTTGGCAGCGGGGCTGCACGCGCTGGCTGCGGGGGGCGTGACGATGCATAGCGCACTCACGCATAGTTTAAGCGCATCCATGACCATACGGGCAGAGATGGCGCTGCGGCGGGCTCGCATGTCGTTGAAGCCGCGGCCGGAGTGGCTGCTGGATTACCAGACCTACCTCACCCCACTTCTCCCGGTTGCCTATGTATTGAAGGTGTCTCTCCTGCTCTGCGCGCGGAGTGCGGTGGAGCTGCACAAGTACGCGAAGGTGTGGATGCTTCATCCACTGCGCGCCTGTACGTTTGCGGACGAGAACGGGGAGACAATCCGCGTGAATAGCCGTGCGGGGGCGAAGCCTGCAGAGGGCACTTTCGGGAATGCCTGGGACGGCCCGGGCGAGACGGCAGCCCACAGCTTTGTCACGGAGTGCCTCTTTACAGCACACCCTGCTGCCGTGCAGCAAGACGCGGAGGCCGCCGCGGTCGCCGCGCAGGTGGGCATTCACGCCTCTCTGCTGCAGGCTTCTGTCTCGTTGGTGTACGTGTCAGACTCCCCGTTCTGCCTCTCCATGCTGACGCTCAACCGCCCGCTGCTGCAGGAGGACGGGTGTGCGGCGTGGGTCCGACAGTTTCGCGTGTTTATGGACGACGCGTTGGTCTTCGACAGCGGCGACGTTGGCGGCCCCCGCCGCGCCCCACTTGCCGCGGTGCAGCAGTCGCCGCTTCGGCCGGGGAGCGAGGACGCCCTCTCGCCGGTGACGGAGGGCGGCGGCGGCGGCGGCGCCGCGGCGTACAGCACGCGTCTGAAGCCGTTCGTCTTCTTCACGCTTGACGCCGCCAGGCTGGACGAGGCCCGTCGTGAGGTGATGCGGATGGCGGGGTAAAAAAAAACACACGCGTGCGTGCGTGCGTGCGTGGAAGGGGGCATACAAAAAAAAAGGGCAAGCGCGAGAAAAAGGAGGGGAAGCGCGAGCGCGAAATACGACGAAAATGCGCTGAATGCGGCGGCAGTGACACGGTCGAGGAGAAGCGACGGCGCGGCGGGCGACTGCAGACGTGGAGGAATCGGGCAACCCGGTGGGAGAAGGCCGGAGGTGGGGCGTGGTGTCGCTTTTTTTGTTTGTTTTTTTCCTTCTTTGTCGGATTGCCTGGCTTTTGCTGGCCGCACATTTTCTCCCCTGCCGCCGCCTTCTGCTTTTCGCGCACAGACGCCGTGTTTTTTTTTTTCTGTGTGCTGCCGTGCGGGGCGAAAAGGCGGGGCGCCGTCTTATTCTCCTTCCGCGTCTGCTGCCTTCTCCCGTGAGTCTCTTCTTCGACGGCTAGTATTTTGAATTTTAGGCTTTCAAAGGCTTTTACCGTTTTACCCCCCTTTTTTTTGTTTTTGCCTTTTATAGTTTTACTTCCACTCTCTCTCTTTGTGCCAATTACCCCCTCTTGGTCTCTGCAGCAGTCTCTGCACCGCGCCTCCCTCCCCCCGCCGCCCCGCCCACCCCGCAGTCTTGCGTCAGTTGGCTGGCTTTGGTAGGCGCCGTGGCCGTTGCTCGTTTCTCTCGCCCGCCCGCTCGCTCCTTCTCCCGGCCCGCACACACACACACACACACACACAGGCCGAGAGCGAAAGAGAAGCGGTAGCGTCCGCTCCCACCCGCAAGTGTACACCCGGACCGTGCGTCACCGTCGTGCGACACTCCGGGAGGGAGACTGCCGTCGTACACGTGCGACCCGCCTATCCGTCCCTCTGCGTACAGCCATTTACTGACGCAGTTTGCGTATACACTGCCAGAGTGCACCCGGCCGCCTGTACCTGCCTGTATATACGTAAACACACACACCTATATATATATATATATATTCCATCCACATCCAGCTACCTTTCTGCATATACGCGCGTGTGTCAGCCCCGTGGCGTGGGCCTATTGTTGTGTTTATTTGCGTCACCACCGTCGGCGGGCTGCGGGCAGGAAGCAACCGGCGAAGCGGCGTGAAAGGGAGCGGTGGCGAAAGGAACGCAAAGCGGGGATACTCTTCTGCTCGCTGACGGGGGAGGTGCGGCAAACTGCAACGGCAAAGCAGCCACAACAGCGGCAGCAAAGAAGCTAAAAGAAATCACACACACGCATAAAGACAAAAGAAAACCGAAACTACACAAGGAAAGAAAAAGAAAAAAAACTTGTTCAGCGAGACGAAGAATACATAGGAAGCAAAGGAGTATACAACAGCAAGAGAAATATCCTTTGCCTCCGTATTTTTTTTGACGGAAAGGCAGGAAAAAAAAGAGAAGCAGCAGTGGGAGGCACATACACTGGCAGGAGGAGTACGGCTTTGTGTGCGCTCGGCCGGTGCTTTGATTCCCTCCGTGGTGGAAGCAAAGCACAACTTCAGTGCATCCTTCAGGAGGAGGAAGCCGGGTTAAAGGAAGCGAAAGTAAAGGGGAGACCACCGCCCACGCTCTGCCACAGAACAAACAATGTCTGTGAGGCACGGCGTGGCGGCGGGGATGGTGCCCGGGGCCCTGCGTGTTGGGGACATGGTGACCATCCTGACGCAGCGCCCGGGCGAGAGCGACGCTCACTGGACCCTGGGCAGCTTGGAGTCCGCCCCGTACCTGCACGACGTCGAGGTTAGGCTCTGGGAGAAGCAGCAGGAGGGGGAGGAGGGGCACGAGCACCTTGACGAAATGGAATCGGCGGAGGAGCGTGAGCTGGTGGCGCGCAACCAAAAGGTGAGAGACGAGATGAAGCGCAGCATGCGGCAGGCGGCGGAACTTACAGACAAGCTACGGGAACGGCGAAAAAGTATCATGGAGGCCATAGGCGAGGCCGACACCCACGTCTTTCAATCGCGTGCCGCTATCCACGCTGCCCGCACCGACGTCAGGGACATCTCGCACTGTCACTGGCATGAGCTGAAGTCGTACCGGAGTCCTGCAAAGATGGTGTTGACTATTCTCCGCGCCGTCATGCTGCTTCTGTCGGAGGACAGTGCCAAAGACTGGCCGCAGATGCAGCGTGTCCTGCGGGACCCACACTTCAAGACGCGGATTCTTGAATACGATCCCGATATAGAACTTTCGAGGGAACGCAGCGATTACATCCTACGCGAGTGTGTACGAAGGAAAAGTTTTCGCTACGACCGTGCGGTCAAAGGTAGCCAGGCAATGGGTCCCATCTACTACTGGGTGTTGGCACAACTGGACAGCAGTGAAGCCACTGTGAAGCAACACCAACTAGAAAAAAGAAAAAAGGCCTCGCAGCAGGAGCTTCGAGAGGTACTACGAGAAATTAACGAGCAGCAGCTCCGCATGGCTGAATATCAGGCCCTCATGGACAAGGCGGAGGAGCAGTTGCAAGCCTACAGAGCGGAGCGGCAACGGCGCTCCTCACTCCTCCAAAGTTCTGGGAGTAAGCTTTGCCCGCGGGAAACGGCGGACCGACGCTACCAAGACAGTTTCGCTGGCGCTGAAAAGAAGGAATACCTGCGTGCCGCCTTCTACAACTGGAAACCCACGACCTACTGTGTGATGATACTGCGCAAGAGGATCCTCGTAGATTTTGGCACCGTGACGCAGGAACAGTGGGCGCAGCACAGCTACTCCCTGGAGGAGCCGCAGATACGACTCCTAGACGACGCCCTGCAACGTCACCAGCGGGAGGTGAAATCGCTCTCAGAGGACGAGGCTGAGAGGCAGCGACGTGAGCAGCAGGAGAACGAGGAAATTGAAGCGGGCTTGTTCCACGCAATGACAGAAACCAATGCTGAAGCGGCCGCGGTGTCAGTAGCGCTGCTTGAACGAACGTTCGACGGCGAAGCATGGAAGAGCATCCTGCACAACAAGCGACTTGCCATCGTTGAGGCCTTCTGCACCGATACAGCAGAGGCGCTGCAAATATCGAAGTGCGACGTGTCCGTCACCCAGTTGGCGTGTCCACCGTCAACCAGCCAAATGGTGGTGGACGCCGAAGTCCGCCACGACGGCTCACAGTCGCGGAAGGCCCTTTTGGCGATAATCAATGCGTTTTCATACCCGAAACTCCAAGCGCTATACAGCGACGCCACTGTCAGCTTTGCAAAGCTACACATGCGGTTCGACGGTAAGAAATGGAAGACGATCCTCGCCGAGAACAAGGAGGAGGTAGAGCAGGCATTTCAAAGCGACACAGCAGTGGCACTAGCAATACCTCAGACAAGCGTTGAGGTACAGAATACAACGGCAACTGAGGATGCACTACTATTCGACTACACCGTGTATATCAACAAACAACATACCAAAGAAGCCCAAAGAACAGTAGAGAACTACAACTACCCGGCAACATGGGATGTATATAGACAATTACAAAGTTCTGCAATAAGCGACAACAACATATGGACAAAAAGACACATCGAAATCGAGGGCGAGGACTGGGGCCACGTGGTGGAAACGAGGGGGGAGGATGTGCGGCGTGCGTTTGTGAGGGAGACGGCCGCGGCGGTTGGGGTGGAGGAGGGCCGGGTGCGGAGTGTGGTGCTGAGGCCCGGGGATGATGGCCTGCTTGTCGACTTTGAGCTGAACCACCCGGCATCGCTGGCGGAGGCCGCTGTGGATGCGCGGCTGCGGGGGTGCGCGTACGCGGCGCTGTGGGCGCTGTACGAGCCGCGGCCCCGCCTCGAGGAGGAGAAGGTAGTGACCACGCACGAGCTGGGCTTTGAGGGCGAGGACTGGGACTACGTGCTGGAGCAGCGGGGCGTGGAGGTGAGGGAGGCGGCGGCGATCGAGACGGCGCGGGCGCTTGGAGTGGAGCGCGAGGACGTGGTGGAGGTGGAGCTGGACGTTGTGCCGCAGAACCTCGTTGTGTTTGTCACGGTGCGCCACTCGTCACGGCTGAGCGAGGGCGAGGTGGACGGGCTGCTGGC